AAAAAAAAAAAAAAAGCTCTCAGGTTTGTGCCAGAACATCCAGCTCCTTTCTCCCATGGTCGAGCGCCCCCCCAAGTCACCAGTACTCCAGGCATGTCTCATCAGGGCGCATGTCTCGTCGGAGTGGGTCTGTACCCCACGCCTGTCATCTCAGGGAATGGTGCCTCCATCCCCACTGTCCAACCTGCCATGTCTGTGCCCATCTCCCAGCAGGAGACAGCAGTGTCCCCTTTACACAGCTGTGTTCTAACCATCAATTCATGCCGAGTTTCCCTCCCTGCATTCTCAGCAAAATCACCTGTCTGCTTAGAAAGGTACCCTGGCCATCGCTGTGAGGACAGATACCTTGATCCCCAGACCTGCGGGTGGCTGGGAGGGTGGGCATGCGCATGTGGGCATTCCTGTGGGAACCGTATCGCCCGCTGTACGGCTGTGCTCTCTCTGGGCTGACTCCTCGCGCTGTGTGCAATGACTTCTGCGTGTCTGTGGCCATCCAAGACTCAGCAGAAGCAATGCATTAGAACCTGAAAGTCCAGGCGTTCCTCCACAGCACCTCTCTAGATGAGATCAGGCAGAACCGAGGCTTGAACACAGGGCCCTGTGCCTTCTAGGCCAGTGCTCTTCCACTAAGCTACATCCCAAAGCTGGATCCAGACTCCGCCCTCCTCATGCACGAGCACAGTGCAGATGGCTCCCTGCTTCCCATGGGAGGCTGACACAGCACTCCGGCTGCTGTCTGTTTTGGCTCTCTCTGGCCACTCTGTGACTGGTTCTAGCACGGTTTTGTGGAGGAGGAGGTGGAGGCATGGACTGATTCCACATTAGGAATCTAAGGAAGCCCTACAGGAGCTGCATCTGTGCTCACAGCTGATTGAGTTGGCATTACTGTGTGTCGAAGCCTGTTATTTATTTTTTGGTTTCTTGTCTTCTATTAAGAACAGGGTCTTGCTATGTTCTTCAGACTCAGGAATCCTCTTGCCTCAGCCCCTCAAGTGCTGGGATTACAGATGTGTACCACCTCATCTAGCTTTAAGGCTGGATTTGTAATCCTCCCGCCTCAGTCTCCCAGATTGGTAGGATCACAGACTTGTACCCCCAAGACCAGCTCACTTAAAAAAAAAATTATTAGTGCATAACGATCCCTGTGGGGACTTGGCACATGTATATAACACATTGCCCTCCCCCCCCCCCATTTTAGGTTTTTTCTTTTTTGTCTTTTTGAGACAGGGTTTCATTGCAGTTTAGCCAGGCCTGGAGCTCACTTTGTAACCCAGGTAAGGTCTCAAAATCCCAATGATCCTCCTGCCTCAGGATCCCAAGTCCTGGGATTAACAGGCATGTGCCATCACGGCTGGCTCCAACGATAAGATAAAAGCCTGATTATGCAGGCTTTTGGGCTGTTTACTCCGGCATCCAGCTAACCTTGGGACAGTGATTGAGAACTGAGAAGAGGATGTGTTTTTGTTCTATAGAAGGTTTTTTTTTTCTTTTTTCTTTCTTTTTTCTTTTTTTTTTTTTCTTTTTGAAAAAGGGTCTCACTATGGAGCCCAACTGGTCTCAAACTCGAATCAATCCTGCCTCTGCCTCCCGAGTGCTGGGATTATAGGCATGCACCACCATGCCCCGCAGTTAGGGTTGGCCTTGAACTTACTGTGTAGCCAGGCTGGCCTCCAACTCATGGCAATCCTCCTGTCTCAGCCTCCAGAGTACTGAGATTATAGGCGTGACCACCATGCACCCAGTTTAAGAGTTTTCATGGGCCGCCCAGACAGCTCAGCAGACTAAAGCGCCTGCTTAGGCAGAGCACAGGGGCTGGGGTTTGATTCCCAGCATGCCATGCCAGCCCCGCCCCTGGGGCACACTGAGA